TTGTACTCGTGCACGTCTTGTCATTATGACATAATTAAGCGGTTTATGCGTTTATAATACTAACAAAATCATTGAATCAGATGGCTACCAACTTTAGAAGACATTTGAAGTGAAAATCCACTATATTGTACAATTTGGACTCGGTACTAAGAGTTCGTACTCGTGCACGTCTTGTCATTATGACACAATTAAGTAGTTTATGTGTTTATATGACTAAACAAACCAATGAATCACATATCCTTGAACATTACAAGACATTTAAAGTGCAAATCAACCTTATTGTACAATTTGGACTTGGTACTAAGAGTTCATACTCGTGCACGTTTTGTCATTATGACACAATTAAGTGGTTTATGTGATTATATTACTAGCCCAATCATTGAATCACATAGCTATCATCATTAGAAAACATTTGGAGTGTAAATCCACCTTATTGTACAATTTGGACTCGGTACTAAGAGTTAGTACTCGTGCACTTCTTGGCATTATGACACAATTAAGCGGTTTATGTGTTTATATGACAAAACCAACCAATGAATCACATATTCTTGAACATTACAAGACATTTGGAGCACAAATCCACCTTATTGTACAATTTGGAGTCGGTACTAACTGTTCATATGTGTGCTCATTTGTGTATTTATATTACTAAAACAGACATTGAATTACATGGCTATCAATATTACAAGAAATTTGCAATGAAAACCCACCTTTTTGTACAATTTGGACTCGGTACTAAGAGTTCGTACTCGTGCACGTTTTGTCATTATGACACAATTAAGTGGTTTATGTGATTATATTACTAAACCAATCATTGAATCACATGGCTATCAATATTTCAAGAAATTTGGAGTGAAAATCCACCTTATTGTACAATTTGGACTCGGTACTAAGAGTTCGTACTCGTGCACGTGTTGTCATTATGACACAATTAAGCGGTCTATGTGTTTATATGACGAAACCAACCAATGAATCACATATTCTTGAACATTACATGACATTTGGAGCACAAATCCACCTTATTGTACAATTTGGACTCGGTACTAAGAGTTCATATGCGTGCTCATTTTGTTATTATGACACAATTAAGCGGTTTATGTATTTATATTACTAAAACAGACATTGAATTACATGGCTATCAATATTACAAGAAATTTGCAGCGAAAACCCACCTTTTTGTACAATTTGGAGTCGGTACTAAGAGTTCGTACTCGTGCACGTTTTGTCATTGTGACACAATTAAGTGGCTTATGTGTTTATATTACTAAACCGATCATTGAATCACATGGCTATCAATATTACAAGAAATTTGGAGTGCAAATTCACCTTATTGTACAATTTGGAATCGGTACTAAGAGTTTGTACTCGGTACTAAGAGTCTTGTTATTATGACATAATTAAGCGGTTTATGCGTTTATATTACTAAGAAAATCATTGAATCAGATGGCTACCAACTTTAGAAGACATTTGGAGTGAAAATCCACCTTATTGTACAATTTGGACTCGGTACTAAGAGTTCGTACTCGTGCACGTCTTGTCATTATGACACAATTAAGCAGTTTATGTGTTTATATGACTAAACCAACCAATGAATCACATATCCTTGAACATTACAAGACATTTGGAGTGCAAATCCACCTTATTGTACAATTTGGACTTGGTACTAAGAGTTCATACTCGTGCACGTTTTGTCATTATGACACAATTAAGTGGTTTATGTGTTTATATTACTAATTCAATCATTAGAAAACATTTGGAGTGTAAATCCACCTTATTGTACAATTTGGACTCGGTACTAAGAGTTAGTACTCGTGCACTTCTTGGCATTATGACACAATTAAGCGGTTTATGTGTTTATATGACAAAACCAACTAATGAATCACATATTCTTGAACATTACAAGACATTTGGAGCACAAATCCACCTTATTGTACAATTTGGATTCGGTACTAAGAGTTCATATGCGTGCTCATTTTGTTATTATGACACAATGAAGTGGTTTATGTATTTATATTACTAAAACAGACATTGAATTACATGGCTATCAATATTACAAGAAATTTGCAGTGAAAATCCACCTTTTTCTACAATTTGGACTCGGTACTAAGAGTTCGTACTCGTGCACGTTTTGTCATTATGACACAATTAAGTGGTTTATCTGTTTATATTACTAACCCAATCATTGAATCACATGGCTATCAACATTAGCAGACATTTGGAGTGTAAATCCACCTTATCGTACTAGTTGGACTCGGTACTTAGAGTTCGTACTCGTGCACTTCTTGTCATTATGACACAATTAAGCGGTTTATGTGTTTATATGACTAAACCAACCAATGAATCACATACCCTTGAACATTACAAGAGATTTGGAGTGCAAATTCACCTTATTTTACAATTTGGAATAGGTACTAAGAGTTTGTACACGTGCACATCATGTCATTATGACACAATTAAGCGGTTTATGTTTTATATTACTAACCCAATCATTGAATTAGATGGCTATCAACATTAGAAGACATTTGGATTGAAAATCCACCTTATTGTACAATTTGGACTCGGTACTAAGAGTTCGTACTCGTGCACGTCTTGTCATTATGACACAATTAAGTGGTTCATGTGTTTATATCACTAAACCAACAATTGAATCACATATCCTTGAACATTGCAAGACATTTGGAGTGAAAATCCACCTTATTGTACAATTTGGACTCGGTACTAAGAGTTCATACTCCTGCACGTTTTGTCATTATGACACAATTAAGTGGTTTCTGTGTTTACTAGTGAGAATGAGTTTCACCAACCGCCTCGGTCTCAACATACACCTCTGCAAGCCGCATCCCGTTATTGCTTAGGAACTGTAACATCATCGTAACCGCGTCATCATCATTTATGAAAACTTCTTGGTACACAACCCCGCCAGCACTCATGTCTAGATACCGGTAACTAATTTTACCAAGTCTCGTCTGTCCGAAAGTACAAACCCTGTCTGCACAAATATCACGGAGTTCTTGAAGATTGAATCGTGACTCAATTTACTCAGAATAATAAGCTGACACTTCTTGAATTTACTCATATCTACAATTTACAATAAGTAACTATTAGCTTAATTCCAGTAAAATTAACCAAAACCATATTGTACGACTAATATGACTTCTTGAATTTACCCATATCTATAATTTACGTTTTTACAACTGCTGGTGGGAGTATAAGAAAATCGGCCTGCATTCACCGCATTTGTCTCCAACGGTGAACACCATCACCGCGTTGCCCTAAGGCGGTGAATATTAGGTGGTTGTGACCTAATTTTCACCTACCAGGGATGGGAAACAATCACCGCCGTAACCTAGGGCGGTGAAGTTGTTCCCCGCTTTGCCCTAAAACGGTGACTTATTCACCGTTGTCAACAAACACGGTGAAGTCTTCACCGTTTAGGTTAAACGCGATGACTTATTCACCGTTTTGCTTAACCACGGTGAATACGTCATCGTTTTAAATAAAAACGGTGAAATGTTCACCGTGTTTGTCTAATGCGGTGATTATGTTCACTGCGTTAGACAAATACGGCAAATGTGAAACATGTGTATTTTGGAAAAAAATTTATAACTTATTTATTTTGGGAATTTTTTTTAATTACTAGTGTACTTTGGGATTTTTTCCAGAGAGAAGCATGTAGAATAAGAACAGAAAGTAAAACTGTAGCAAATGAAATGAAAGTATGAGATTTATAACGTGATTCCCCAACTACAGATCAGTCCACATAACGAAAGTGAATCTCGGAGACTTTTTTATTTGATTTTTTCTAGGGTTATAGGTATAATATGCCCCTCTACTATGTAGTTTTATCAAACACGCCCCTAGACTATTTTTTACATCAAACATGCCCTTGTACTTTGGAAAAATGATCAAACATGCTCTTCTGTTAAAATTTCCATTAAAAAAATCGCCAACCATGGTTGAACCGAGATGTAGATGACCCGACATCGGCAAATGAGAGCGAAAATGTCAGTTTTGTTCCCCATTTTATTTTTCTAGGTCTCATTAAAGTGAAATTATTAGAGGTATTTGGCTCTACAAAAGAACCCAAAATTTTTTTAAGTGAAATTATCAAGGATATTTTAGACATTTGTGTCGCCCAAACCAAGGTACGACCATGATTGACTGTTTTTGGATGAAAATATTAACAGAAGGGTATGTTTGATCATTTTTCTAAAGTACAAGGGCATGTTTGATGTAAAAAATAGTATAGGGGCATGTTTGATAAAACGACATAATAGAGGGGCATATTATACCTATAACCTTTTTTCTATCGTTGCAATGAAAAGAAGGACAGTACAATTCGTTACCCAACCTAGACAAATAAGAACCTCTCCTCTTCACTAAATATTCCCCTCCGGCACTTTGCATACCTCTACCTCTATCAATTACAAAGGTTATCATATCTCTATGGGTAGAGAGTCGTATAAATAGCTGCAAGGGAAACTAGTCGTTTGATGAGGCTGATTACTTGAAGAGTGTCTTTTTTTTCTGGCTTAATGAGAGATGAGAAGAATCTCTTTCCTTTTCTGATTTTCGCCAACAAGTTTCCAGTTAATTGGGTTGAAGGTTTCAAAAACAATTGGGTTCAAGGTGACTGCGATAAACAAGGACAATGTTTAATAAAAATAAAATAAAAAGTGATAGATGAGTACCAGACAAGTGTGATTGAGTACCAATTGAGATGATCAATTCCCATAAACTAGACCTTTATGTCTTTGAGCCAACTAATTGAACCTTCCAAAATGAAGTATTAACCTTCGTTTTGACCGAGCGGAGGCACATTATGAACAAATAAAAAAGAAGAGGAACCAGAATCGACTTTTTTTTATATACTTTATAACATAAATTCGTTATTCATTTAATAAAAAAAAGCTATATTTTCAGCACCAATACGTTACCAATAGAAAAATAAAACAATAAATCAGCACCAAATAAATAGCACTAACACTTCAAATACATTAATAGCAGTTAAGACGAATCAATACCACTACAAAAATAAATCAATAACAAATCATACAACTACAAGTCTACCACTTCAAAAACCCCAATATCATTTTATAGGAATCAATACCAATACAAAATAAAACAATAAATTATTATCAAATCATACATAATACTATCACTTCAAAAACACAAATATCAGTTCATACGAACTGATACCACCATAATACAAAAGTTATAGATATCCCATTCTCGCCGCAGGTGACCAGAGGGCAAGCGGCGTAATTGACCAGGAGGTCGTGGTGAGTGTTCGAAAGGTGATTGACTAGTTTGGGACGGTTAAACCAATAACAATCACGAGTAGAATTGTCATCCTATTAGACAGTCCACTTGTTTTAGTCCACCAATTGAAAAGCAACCAAACCATCCCCACTCAAGATTGACACCACTTGACACTTGTGGGCACTAGAAAAAAATGCCATGTTTTACGTTGCCAAACGCCAACCAGCGTAGAAACAACACAAAAGTCGCAAGATCTAAATGCAAATTATCAGAAATTAGACAACTTCAAAGGTGCCCAGCCTGGTACGGCAGACATAACCCCTCGTGTACAGCAAAAACATCGATTTCAATTTGCAGCCCGGAGAGAAATATGTACAGATGCATCGTCCAGTAATATAACACTGCCAAGAAGAAAGACGAGAGAGACAGTCTAGAAGGACTGCTCCTACCCACACAGCTGCATTGGTCTGGTTGGGACACGATCCGTAGTACAGCCCATTTAAATTTCAACTGGTACCCCCACCCTGCAAAGTTGAGACATTGAGAAATAAGGCAAGGCTGCTGAGGAAGCAGTAACAAGTTCTCGCATGAAACCCACGGCGCATACTATTCACTGACGGGCACCTTGACTGCTCTAGACAAGTGCATACTAGTGTTTTCCAGGGACATTGTTAGTGTTGGATTCGGTGTTACAAACGATGCATGACAGCCAGTTAGGGAAACAAATACCAGCTGAATCTCGTCAACTCATGTAAACAACCAACTCACTTCAACGCTAAGTTGTTACCTAATGGTGCACACACTGTTTGTGAAGTTGTCAGTTGGATGTGCTCAGAATGGAATGGGACAAATACGCGATTAAGTCCTTTACAAATATGTTAGTACACGGTCTGCATTGGCATCCTACACTCATAACATCACCTACTAAGTGTGGCAGGCCCAAACAAGTTTCTGGTTTGGTGTGTCTTGAGACTGATCAGGGAAATCTGCTCCATTTCTGAAAAAGTGACTCTTAGACCCAATTATTCTATCAATGTGCTCTAAATTGGGATATAAACAATCCACACCGTTGTCTTCGTCATACTGGTAAGTAGAACACGGAATAAACCACAATTGAAACGAAAAGAAAGGGGATAATCACATCTTCCAAGTAAGAGTTCTGAAATCAACCCATTTAATACTAATATATGTTGAAGAGAATATAAGAAAACAGTTATTCAAAATCTCCATATTTCCATTGGAATTGAAAAATAGCATGGAGTGCAAATAAAATAAATTATAAGCAATTCCATGAATGTACCAGACAGGGGAATACAACTAGCACCACTTGTAGGCACACGGGAAACAAACCGCATATATCAGCGCAAAAAGGAAAGAACGCCACGACTCAACGGTAAACAAGGACAATAAATAATTAATTAGATGAAACAAATGGAATAGATAAGAGTGTATAGCTGACCTCAACTCAGGATTACGTGTTCAAGTTTCAGCCCACCGTCACATTTTGTTTGACATCATGAACTTAGCATTTGCATTTTTTTCTGCAGGTTTCAAAATCTGAAAGGAGCACATCAGGTCTTCATCGACACTCATCATAGCACCAGCATTATCGAATTCGCCACAATAATTGGGAGCTGAGAATATGGTCACAAGTTGCCTATCAGCAAAAAACTCATATCCATCCTCCACAACCTAGACAAAAATAAAGTCAGATTAATTTCCACAACAGACCAGAATGTTCACCGAGAAAAAATAACAGTAGCCAAGTGAAAGTGGATCACCTGATGTGCACGGCAGACAAGGTCCAAATCGTGCTTGTTCAAGAACTCAGATACCTTATCAGGGCCAAAGGTATATGAAACTCCACGATCATTCATTCCCCACCCTTTAACATCTCTACCAGGATCTGACCATAACAAATCACACAGCAAACCAGTGTCTGGAAGAGCAGTTGGGCGAGGCAAGTTTCTGATTTGATCTAAATGTGTCAAATCAGGGGAAAGACCACCATGCATGCATAATATTTTGTCATCTATGAGAGCTGCGACAGGAAGGCAATTAAAAGAGTCGGTGAACGATTTCCAAAGCCGCACATTGAACCGCCTCTTGCATTCATCATAGAATCCATAAATGCGATTTATAGAAGCACATTCATGATTTCCTCTTAGGAGGAAAAAGTTCTCCGGGAATTTAATCTTGTAGGCAAGCAAGAGGCATATAGTCTCCAAGCTCTGCTTGCCACGATCAACATAGTCTCCCAAGAATAAATAGTTGGCCTCAGGTGGAAAACCACCATACTCGAAAAGCCTCAACAAATCACTGTATTGCCCATGAATGTCACCTTCAACACCAGACAGAAAATGTCAAGCCCCAGGAAATCATGCATACCAAAATGTTGAATGAAGGTTTACTTAAAAAACACTTAAACCACAAGGAAACAAAGCACAAAAGAAACACGTTGATAGACATAAACCACCAAAAAAAATGCACACATATGTTATCTCTAGTACATAAAAGCAAAGGAAATAGTTGAATGAAGACATATAACCAAAGAAAAGAGGCATACACATCAGACCAACACAAGCACAAGATTGTCAAACTCATATATGACATACTAAATTTGTAAACCATATCATAACAACTACAAAACCTCCATAATTACCCAACTCCTTCTTACCTGCATGCTTTATTTAACTGCTATAGATGGTTCATTCCAGCATCAAATGCCCCTCAAATGATCTGGAGTTCATTTGTAGGTGTCTTAAATAGAAATCAAGAACAGATGTAAATTAGAAAGACAATAAATATAAGGGACACTTGTCCATGGAACTCCCAAATTTCAGTCATTCAGTTACTCCACAATACAACAGCGCCTAGGTTTCCTTTATGTACTATTAAACCAACTAATGTCCTTCTCTTAACAAGCTCGGCAATCAACCAGCAGCAGCAAGAAACGCAACTTCATGTACAACCATTGAGCCCCATTGGTACTCCACTTGATGTGCCTAAACTGCTCTAATTGAAAATAAAACATGGTCCATGTAGAGATATAATTTGGAATCGAATTAGGTCATATAGGTTTGGTATAATCCCATCACCACTACTGCTACATCTAACGGAAAACGAAAGGATACTAACCCTAATAGTCCACTACGAGACAAACCCAGCTCTCCTCTTGACCAACACTTGAGGAAGTAAAACAGCCCGTCAATGGTAAAATAGACAGAAACCCATCAATTCTCCCCAATTTCTAATACAGAAGGAAGAAATAAAGGAGAAAAGGAACCCAAGAAGCGTACCGCAAATCTTGATGGGGGCCTCTAGCTCGAGCAAATTGGGCTGCTGAAGGAAGACCTCGCGGGAGGCGAGACAGAGCTGCTTAATCTCAGCCTCGGAGAGCTGGACCCGCTTGCCAGGTCTGGCTGATCGGACCTCTGTGAGCCGTTTAATTAAATCGTCTAGCACTGCAGGGTCCATTACCACCTGTCCTTGTGTTGCCATATCCGATTTTGGCCAAGCCCTCCCAAGCTGCTTCTATACTTGCCAATAACAGACCTCACCAGATCGATAAATCCCTCCTACAGACCAATCTCTGCAAATAGCAGAGCAATTGAAATATCAGACAATCTGGGATTTTGGTGATAAGAGAACTCGACGTTTCCCAGCCAACAACCTAATTGACGTAACAAGCCTCAAGACGCGGTGGCTCACGTTGATCCAGAGGAGTGGAGTTAACTAGAATATAAGGAAGAAAGTCCACTTTAAACCCCCCCACACACACACGTTACACCTTTCAAAGAGTTGAATTGTTCAGTACGCGAAAGACAAAACAAATAAATTCCAAAGCGCCATGAAATTGACCAAAACTAAATAGGGAACCAGAAACTAATTGGGATTGTTCTTCTTTCAATTCAAAAGATATTTCCGGAGTTCCCCTAGCTCAGGCGGCAGCCGGAAATTACCAAAACAGGGGAATAAAAGGTCGGAGTTAAAGAGGGGTTTCGATTGCTTTTAGAGCTCTCCCAGATACAAACAGTTCAATAATACAAAGCTTCAAAATAAGCAACACTAAAAATCTCAAAACCTATTATAACATCACCGATCGTTAATAAACGTCGATTGACTGTAAGGATCACAGCAGGAGTAGACAACTAAAATATACAACGAAAAGGAAGTTACCTGACCTCTGGGGTTCCAATTTGGAGGTCTACCCACCTACGCCTTGTTCGCTTTTATCTCCCTAGAATCAAAAACCCATCGATGGGTATGAGCGGTGACGATTTCTTGAATGATACTCTCATGGCAGGCAGTGGGTAAGATGGAGGAAAATGAAGGGGCGTACGAATAAGGGGGAGCCGTCTCTCAGTACGAACCCTTTGAATGAAACTCTTAGTTCTTTCTTTGCAAGACCTTATCGCTCACCCCGTCCTAGTCCTAGATCTCATCGCATAAATCACCGGTTTGCAGACCGAACCGAACCGAACTTGATCAAAACCAACATTGAATAAGACTGTTCTTCGAGTTAGTTTCAAACCAAACTTTATTTCGGTTCAGTGTGTTTCTGTTTAGCGGTGGAAACTTTCGCAGTGTGGGTTAAATGAATGTGCTTCTAACTTCTAAAAATCAATACGACTGTTACTTAGTTCACACCTCTTCAAACCAAGTCAAACGAGGTTGTTTGAGTTTTGTAAATCTACTTTAAATAAGGCCTAGTGCTGTGGATACACATGATTCCATGTGCAGAGCTCCGCGACTACGACTATGGATAATCATTCATGGAAGGAGAGCTCCGTAGCTTGGTGTTTATATAGTCAAATAACTCGAATACTGTTCATATGGTATTTCAGTGGTGCCTGGATTAAAGTATCTCGTTTGATAGAACCATGAACATGTGGTATTTGGCCAAAACAGAGCAGTAAAGCGAGTTATTTTGAAATAACTCTCGATAGGAGTTATGTCAAATTACCCATTTTGAATTATTTGTAAACAACTCACGACCCTAATAATTCATTTCAGTAAATATTGTCAAATGAGTTATTTGGACTGAAAGATGGGCTTCTCAGTCAATTTTATTCAATGGGTACAGAGATGCCACTCCACAGCTTACTTTAATTAGTATCATCATGTATAAGTTCTTGTTCGGTTTCTTCTCTGCTGAGACGGGGATAAAGCAAGGGGATTCATTGTCCCCCTACTTATTTACTTTATCATTAGGGTCTTTATATGATATGTTAGATTGCTCGAGAAATGCATATTGCTTATCATCCTCGGTGTTGATTGATAGATCTTAGGCACCTTTGTGTTTGCAAATGATCTGTTGATCTTCACTAAGGGTTCTACAAATGCTTTTAATGGAGTTAAAAGGGTGTTGGATAGGTTTTATATGTTGTAGAAACTAAAGTACAATCCTCACAAGTGTGAGGTATTCTTTGGGAGCATAGCGTAGGTGTTTAAGCAGACTGTTATCCGGGTTACAGTCTTTAAAGAAATGAAAACTACATGTCAGATATCTAGAGCTGCCTTTGATTTCTAACGAGTTGTCTAGTCGTGAGTGTGTAGTACTGGTGGATAAGCTGACTAGTCAAACCCGATCATGGTGCGCAAACAAACTCTCTTATGCATGACAGATTCCATTAGTCTTGTATGCTTTATACTCCTTAATACATAATTGGATGAACATCTTTGTACTGCCCAAGAAGATTGTTGATAATTTGGGTAAGCCTAAGATGGCTTGGGATATATTGGCAACCTCTAAGAAGAAGGAGGTTTGGAGCGGAAAGACTTTAGCACATGGAATATTACATGTGTCTAGACTCCTATGGCTACTGCTCATGCAGAAGAGTTTCTAGGTATAGCATGGGCTGCTAAGTATAGGACCATCTCTCATATTATGGAGGCTCTGTTCTAGAAACAAAATGTGACCCATTTTTTTCTATAAAAATCTAATAAAATATAAATAAGGGCTAATACCACTACAACACCCGAACTATCGACAAAATGCCACTTGTGTCCTAAATTATTCAATATTCCATTTCTATCCTGAACTATCTTTCCGTTAGTGTTGACACCAGTCAGCGTTGACATGGCATCTGATGTGGAATTTTTAATATTAATTTTTATTTACTTTTTTATGTAAAATAAAATAAACCAAATAAAAAACCCCAATCCCTTTCTCCACATCTCCTCCCGCGGCCGTCTGCCGGAACCCTCCTCTCGCCGCAATCAGATCTGGTCTCTGCTTTTTCATTCAGAGAAGGAGACCGGAGGAAGCTTCCCTCTCTGCCGCCGCTCTTTGATTCACCGTGTGTCTTCTCGCCAATGCATTCAGAGAAGGAAACTAGATGAAGATTCACTCCCTTGTTCATCAATTTCCTTTTTGCGGGTCTCTGTCTGGACTTCTCATCGGATTCTCATACCCTTCCGCTCACCAGCGCCCCGAACTTTGCTTTCGTTGGTCATGTTCAAAACCCCACACTTCTATCTACAAATCTACAATCGAGCCGCCAAACACGCAGAAGCTCCGTTGAAGCTCCATATGCGGATTTCACCATATCTCTTCTCTTTGCCGCTAGGTCGAGACCACCTGCCTTGATGAGGTCTACAATCTCGTGGCCCATTCCCAAATTGTTTCCTCTGAAATTTCATACTACACAACCCACATCATTGCAGCCAGAGAGGTTGTCAGATCCACTTTTGGCGGCCATCAGATCTCATCTCCTTGCTCCGCTCCGCGATGTAAGCTCCCCATGAATATCCCATCTAACTCTCGGACTCGCTTCAAAAGACGAGCGGCCAAGACCCCAATCTCCGCAACCTGCAAATCGATCCAAACGCAGAGACCTACAGTTCATCGGGGACGCCGACATAGAGAGGCAGAGAGAGATAGGAAACCGAAGGATGGTGGGTCGACAGGGACAAGGGATGGGGTGGGGGAATGGGAGTTGAATAAATGGGATATGGGTTTCTGGTTTCTCAATCAAACAACCGCCACTTGCAGAGAGGATTCAGAGGAGGAGGGGGTTAAAGACGACGATGGGTAATCGCCGGGGAGAGCAGAGCAGGGGCGGAGGGGCGATGTTTTTTTAATTTCTCCATTAATTTTGTATTTTCCTTATTTTAATTATGATTAGTTTTTGAACTAAATAATGACATGTCAATCCACGTGGATGCCACGTCACCAAAAGTCAATATAATTTTGACCGTCGTCAAGTCAACCGTTAAATATAACGGTCAACGAAATTATCAGGATACAGATGACACAAAGTATCATAGTTCAGGATAGAAATGGAATATTGAATAATTTAGGATACAAGTGGCATTTTGTCGATAGTTTGGGTGTTGTAGTGGTATTAGCCCTATAAATAAATCATCAATCAGTAAATAAAAATCATTACAGTATTATTTAAAAGAATTCAAATAGTAAATAAATTGACTTGAATCACCTAAATTGGTGACGAGAAGTTAACTGAGCTAGAAAGGAAAGTATAAAAGAATCAAAGATTAGAAACAAATAATAAAAAATAAATATTATATAGGAGAGAAAGTGATAAATATTTAGTCTAATATTAAGTATGTTACAAACTATTTGTAATTGATTTACTTCTTTTTTTTTTTCTTTTTACTTGTTGGCTTGTGCCTTATTGTAATTAACATTAATAATAAGAGGTAAAGTAATCTCATCTTTTTTATTCTATCTGGAAAACAAAGGATAAATAATATGCTCTCTTATATGGTTTAGTGAAAAAAGTCTAATAAGAAATCAAATCTTCCTTCTTTATATGCTTCAATCATTTTTTATTAGAATTTGAGATTAATTTTTTTTTATTATATTAGAGACATAATCAAAGTTTACTACATTAATTTTATATGTTTGAAATTTATAATTAAAACTTAATACTTCATAAAAAATAGTTAGCATTATACATAATGTAGGCTCTAAGCTGATGACCCAATAGTTTAGAGGCTCTTTGCGGGAGGGCCTCCCCGCACACTTAGAGAGCCTGCCATGAGTAACTATAGGGTGAAGAACAGGTGGCTGAGTATCCACATCATGCACTCCACGCCATGAAGCTCGCCGCGACCTCTTGGTAGATCCCCAGTCATAACCTTGCTCTGTCATATCCTCGAGGAGCTGGTTCAATTGTGGGGGCATCTTGGTCAGCATATTCCCGCCACAAACCGAATCAATCAGCTATCGGTGAAACCATGATTGGGGCACTTCAGAAAGAGAGTGGAGTATCTCTCCCATGCATCTCGGATAATTTCATCTTCATCCTGAGGAAAGTGAGTTATTTCCTTCTGGAGATCCGTTGTCTTTGATGGGGGATGACATAGTTCAGAAACTTGTCAACCATGGCAGTTCATTTGGTGATCGATCCTGGAGCACGAGTATCCAGCCATGTCTTGTCCAGTACCTCTAAGGTGAAAGGGAATTAGCGGAGCCGGAAGACTTCTTGAGTGACTCCGTTCAGTTTGATCCCATCGATCAGCTCATAGAACTGCCGCAGATGCTCCTGAGGGCACTCACATAATTCCCATGGAAGACCACAGAGCCCTTCAACATTTAGATGACAAATGTCTTCAACTAAAAGTTGTTAGCATCAACTTGAGGATGTTGGATGCTAGACCTCAGATCCTCGACACTAGGGGTTAAGTAGTACCCCACAGTCTGCTCCTTGGGGGTCTTGCATGTCCCCAACTAGATTATTCGGGTCAGCCATTTTTCTTCTTTGCTATCCGATCCCTTAGTAACAACGACCTTGTCCAAGCCCTCCTCTGTAGCCAGTCTCGATTTGAGCGCTTTGAGTTGGTGACAGGTAAGGTCAATTTCAGGGTCCAGAGGTAGTAGATCTCCTGACTGGCTACGGGTCATGCACTACATTCACACATACGACAAGCACAACCCGTCAAGGCAAACAGGGTGGAGATAAAATGCATAAAAGTAAATGCTAAAGTAATATATTCTCATGTTTCTTCAATAACCTAACCGTCCGTGGCAGCGACACCAAAAACTTGACTCCCTAAAACCAATACAACAAAACTACAACCAAGTGTAGTCGCAGTCTAGCAATGCAATATAGTGACTCAGGTTTTATTTCTCAACCAAGGTCCTAGGTCTACTGGTTACTCCGTTTGTATCTATTATCTAGCGGTTGAGTTTGAGTGAAGTGATAAAAAAAAAGTAAATAGAAATCACGTAATAGTTGTTTTCAGATTAAGAAAGCTCACTCAGGTATGAGTCCCCCTAGATTGTCGATTCGGGCTAAATTACACATATTTTACCCATTATTTCTTGTTCATTTGACTTAGTAAATCATCTTCCCTCAACCTACTTTATGCTAGGGTGTGCTATTTTTGTTACTTTTCATGTCCTAACACGTGTGGGAAGGTCGATGACAAGTTTTGGGA